CGCTATCGCTTTCTAGAATCGAGTGGTGAATCCTCCCGGTTGAACCCCCAGTCCTTGTAGTCCATCATGAAATAAACTCAAAGATCCACCACAGCCACCACCCTCCGCCTCCACCGTCGAGCCGCGATCGCTGCCGCCCGCGACGCCGCCCGCCGCGTCAGATTGCCGCGACGCGCGCCTCGAGTCGAGTCGGAGAGCCGCGCCGCACCAGCAGCAGCATCAGCACCAGCAGCACCAGCACCACCAGCACCAGCAGCACCAGAGAGAGGCGCAACCTGCCCGACGCCGCCGTGTCAGATGCTCCCGACGCGCGTCTCGAGCCGAGTCGCAGACCCGCGCCGCGCCAGCAGCAGCATATGCACCAGCAGCAGCAACATCACCACCAGCAGCAGCACCAGAGAGAGACAGTGCAGTGTGACAGCAGCGCAGAAGCGCTCGCAGAGCGGCGCGCAGCGCCGCGCACGCCACGCCGCGGGCGGTCGGACGAGCGCAGCGTACGTCGGCCGCGAGCCGCGTCGCCAGCCGTCTCGCGAGAGAGCGGCGCCGCCGCGTGCGCGCAGCAGCCGCCGCGGCAGAGGCGAGCCGCGGCGACGGCCGCACAACCGATAACTGCCATTGGCGGTTCACACACACACACACACACTTGGGGGGGGGCAGAGTCGACCACAATTGTCGCGCGCCGGAGACGACTCGACGCCGCTGAGATCGGAGATCAAGCTCTGACAGGTCGCACGTCGCTCCTTTGACGCCGACGTGACTCACCCGTGCAGATCACATCAGGACACGGTCTCGACACGCTCGGTACGACGCCTGCGACCCGTCTTGGGTCAGGTGGCACGACGCTCATCCGCCTACCAGCGCTGGCCGCTGCCGTGCAGGCTGCCACGACAAGGTCGAGCACGCTTCTATACGCTCGCCCAGCCTTCCTTTCCATCCCATTAGGCAGCCTGGGAACGGTGGCGGTCAGAGGCAAAGCCTGCGAGGGGTGGTGGAACCACATGTCACGGCTACCGCCGGCTCGACCCCACGATAGCCTCCGGAGGCTGACTTTGAGGCACAATCATCGGACGACGTCGGCGAGTTGAGTCGCGCTCGCGGTAGCCAGATGACCTCTCATACTAGTATCATCGGCCATGGCCGCAGGAAGCGCGGGGGATTCCGCTGGGAGCAACACGGAGCTCCGTTGGACGCGTTTTCAAGATTAGCGTGTCAGAGTGAACTGGAACTAGAGCCTTTGGCCTCACTGAAGGCGACGTGCCCGCTGTAGTTAAAGAGAGCGCCTTCGTGGTTAATAATCTTTTTCACTACAATCTGAGAAGAAATACCCGCAAAGGGGAGGGGGGGGCAAGAGTGTGTGTTTGGTTCACAAGAGTGGGTGAGTCGGAGCGCAACACCGCCTTTCTTTTTCCCCACCGGCTGCGCGCTGCGCGCTGGACTAAGGGGAGGCAGAAGGCAAACTTGATGGTCGTGGCAAAGTTGAGCTTCCTCGCGGTGCCCAAGATGGAGTGGCCGATCCCCGTGACGGGCCATGCGTCAATAATGATGAGCGCTGGAAACCGCAGCTCGAAAGCCCGGCGCCGCCAGCATCGCCTCCAGCGTCCGATTGGTCACCGCGTACTTGCACTGCCTCGCGAAGCATGCGGCGTCGTTGATCGAACAGCGAGGTTTCCCGCCGTTTGCCGCGACGCACACGACGGGGCTCCTGCTTCTGTAGTGGGCCAGCAACGCGGGGTGTGGGCTTGGATTGTCATAGAGCTGCGCCTCCGGGCTCGTGCAGTCGCCCAGCGCAGCCGGGCAGCAATTCTCGGGGGACGGGCAGCACGCCCAGCCAGACGACGGGTCCTCGGCAAAGTCGGCCCTCGTCTGGCAGAGGCCCGCCTCCATCTGCCACCGATTGCGCGGAAGAAAGTTGTAGAGCGGGTTGGGGCTGGCGAGGATGCGGTCCGGGTTGGAGTCGAACGCACCGCGCACGAGGTATCGCACGATAGACTCTCGCGGCTCCAAGAGCGACCTCGCACGGCTCGTGAGCACCTCGTGGAGCGCGTTCCAGTTACTGCGGTTTGCCACGACCACTCGCCACATTGGAAGGAACGAGCGGCTCACGAGGTGGAGCGTGTCGGGCGTGCGCTTGTTCCTCGCAAGCGCCTCCTTCGAGACCCGTTGGGTGGAAAACAGCCGCCACTCGCCGTTGATCTCGCGCCACGCAAAGGCCACGCCGTGCTCCACCTCGCCGTCGTCGCTGTAGAGCCGTGTGTCGAGCAAAAAGGGACGCAGGCTCTGCTTGAAGGCCAGGTCCTTCCGCACTATGAGGATGCTTGGGAAGGATACCGCGTGCGCGGCCTCATACTCGGAGAGAATGCGGAGCAACAGGAACATGTTGTCGAACTGCGTCCGCCGGCTCGAGTGAGTGAAGCTCACGATGCGGCCGGTCACGAAGGCGGCCGCGAAGCGCTCGCCGACGGCGCGCTGCTGTTCGTACACAGTGAGGAAGACGCTCGAGTTGGTCGGCTGCACAATGTGCCGCTCGATGCTGAGGGCGCACTCCACGCCATCGGCCTCCGAGCCGCGGATGTCGCCCCGGAGGAGGACCGCAAGCGCCGCGCCCACCGGCGGCCGTGTATGCACGGTGGTGTACTCACGCCCTTCACAACTGCAGTTGCCCGTGCTAAATCCGGGCTGCCCGCAGTCAACCGTGCTGGAACCGCAGCGAAACGTCCCTCGACATTTTGCGACCCACATGCTGTTGCTCCCAGGTTCACATCCGAAGCTGCGCCCGAGCACGCATGGCGCAATGCTCGCCTGTCTGACCAGCCCACACTGAGAGGCGCGACTGCGCAGGTGCGGCGCACGTGGCCAGCTGGCCGTGGAGCGGCCGGCGCAGCTACAGTTGTAGCTCGATGCACCTGGAGGGTAGCCGCACCAGATGCTGGTCTCGTCCTTGCCGCTGCAGCCGCGCAGCAGGAACCGGCCTCGGCATCCGCGAACCCACACGGACGGCGAGCGCTCGGCGGCAGCGGCATTTGTGCAGCCGAAGCTCCGCCCGAGGATGCACGGCGCGTAGCTTGACTGCTCGGCTATGCTGATGCTGCAGCGCCCCGACCCATTGCCCGCGCCCGCCGCAAGTGTCATGACAGCACCCGCGAAGAGATTGCATGCCATCTCGGCTTCCGGGTTCCAACTTTTTCGGGGAGGGTACCCATGGGTGCTGGTAGCGAACCGACGCTGCTTCACCTGCCAGCGTCGGTTCGCCCTGTTCGCAGATCTCCTGTGCCGCCTCCATGTGCCTTTCGCCGGCGCTGCCGAGCGGTGAGGACCTCGTCCGCCATCAGCTCGAGCTGCAGCTGATCCTCCAGGAGGTGCACCAGCGCTACGCCGGCCGCTCAGGGAGGTACAACAAGCACGACACGGCGCGGCTCCGCTTCATAAAAGACACTGCCTTCCCGGGCCTGCGCTTCGGCAAGATGGTGCAGGAGCGAGACATGGCGATGCTGCGCTTGCCGCCGATGAGCGATCTAGCCGGCACTGCGCTGACCGAGATGAATGAGTGGTCGCGGCGGCACGCGCCCGACCCGCGCTCCTCAAACCAGGGAGAGGTGGCGCGGTTGGACGAGGAGCAGCAGTCGACGCTGCTCAGGTGGGCGGCCACACAGGCCAACGGCGGCTGCGTGGCCGACCACGCTGCTCGACGCGGCGCGCCGCCAGCCTATCGACTCCACTTCGGCGCATACAAAGGCCTCACGCTCGCGCAGCTGGTGTCAGCCTCTCGCACGAGCAAGGGAGGCGCGCGTGCACTCTCCGTATCGATGCGGCGCGTCATGAGCTGACTGGTCGCGGGTGGCTGCCTCGCAGGTGGCAAATCGGCGCTGCTTCCGGACGCGCCCGCCTCGCTGCGCTGCTCGGAGCCGGGTGATTACGTTCTCTGGCTGTGCTCCAACGATTTCAACGCCCACTTCCCATATCACGCGCCGCTCTATCTGTCCCTGCGGGAGCTTGAGGCCGACGGCTGCACCGTTTACAACTCCGATCTCAGCTGGGCTTTCGACTCGAAGCCGGTCGCGGTGTGCGCCGAAACGAGGCAGCGATTTTCCGATTACGTCAACTCCCTGACTACGCCTCTGGTCGGCGACATCGACCCGTACGCCCCGCGCGACCCGGGCCAGGACGAGGCGGCAGCGGCGGTTCGGGGGTTCGCGGCGCAGCAGACGCCGACTCGGACGACGAGGCCGAAGGCGAAGTTGGCGGGTGCGACGCCGCGGCAGCGGGAGGCATACGTGGACAGCATCCTCGCCTCCGACTACTTCGGCCTTGTGCCACACATGGCATGGCCGCTTGTGCGCGCCTACGTCGAGGCGCGCTATCGCATCGGGGTGCCCGTCATCCCAATCGGACGCGGCTTCTTTCCCAGCCACATCTGGGCGTTCGATATCCTCTCCCGACTCGGCGCGCCGTTACCTGTGCATCACGCCCTCTCCCCCATCACCATCGCCTCGAGCATTGCAACCGAGCTCGCCAACGTTGCCATCGAGCACCGCACAGCGCTGCTCGGGGAGCGGCAGCAATGGCGGCGGCCGTCACCAAGACGGCCCGCAAGCTTGCGTAACTCGCGCCTCGCGCAAGCGCCCCTCGCGCAAGCAACGGGTGAGTATGACGCATGGGAGTGCACTGGGGTGCCGGACGCGTTCGCTCGGTGTGTGCGCGTCGCTGCACGCCCTTTCCCCCGCTCGTTACTCCAGGCGGCGCTCCCACCCAGGGCCAGGGAGTGGGCAGCCGGCGGCAGGCCACCTTGTGGCGACATCACTCTCCACGGCCGTGAACAGGCGCCCTATCCATCCTACCTACCTACCTACCTACATTCTTCTCTCGCTCCCGTGCCTTGTCGTTGTGTGTGTCGTGAGAGGAAGTTTTGTTGTAAAATTATCACAGTGCCCTTGGAGCACTTGGAGTGCGGTCATCAACCTCACACCCAGGGCCGGGGAGCTAAGAGCGCGCCCAGCGGGCCGGACGCCCGCGCCTTGGAGCAGCCTAGTCGTGCGAGGGAGTTGTTTGTAAAATTCTTCCATTTTTGATCATTGCCCGCTTCCACCTCCTCGACCGCCTGCGTCGCTCTCGGCTGTGGGAGCCCATCACCTTACCCTCCGCCTCTCACTGGTGCCCAAGTTCAAGATGGCGGGAGCCCCCGCCCCTGAGGTACGCTTTCTTTTTTTGTGTATGCCGCCTCGTCGCGCACGAGCCACCGAGCCGACTGCGGGTCGCTCGACCTTGATTCGCTGCTTCCTGTGGGAGCTGGCACAGGCGCTCAAGGAGAGCTACACGTCAACGCACTTCAATACGCGCCAGAAGCACACGTTCACCATCAACTATGCTAAGCACGTCCCTCTACGCATGCTGCAACTAGCAGCGCTCGAGTGGTTCGCGCCACCGATGCAGCGTGTGATGTCTCAGCTCCGCCAGATCTTTACCCGCCACGGGATTCCGGATGAGTTGGCCGGCTTTGTGCTGCAAGCCCTGCGGCTGCCCGCGGCCTCGCTGGATGAGATATGCAGCAAGGTCGCACCGTGGTTCTTGGGCGCCCTGCACGAGGCCGCGGGAAAGTTGACGATCGTGCTCCCCAAGGACGCCGACAAGGTCTCGAAGGACAAGGGCGTGAACACGCTCGTGGCCGCCTTTGACAACTACGACCAAGGCTTCTGGCATCAGTGTGTCCACTGGGACCGCGAAGGCGCGAGCCACATCGGCGGTAGGACCAAGCGACAGTGGACCGCCACGGACGTCCAGTGGCCGCTGGCCCGGTGCATCATGGCCGCGGAGCACGGATTGTCGCCCACGGCCATCTCCGAGCACCTCGGGCTGCCGCGCTTACCAGAAAAGGACGAGCCGCACAGCTTGGAGCTTCTCATCCGGCTTAAGACGCGGCGTGGCTGCAGGCAGAGCGACACGAGGGCAGTCGTGGCCACGATGGTCGTGCCGCACGACGCGTCGTGCTGCAGCATGCTCGACTGGATGCATGAGCTCGACGACTCGCTTGAGAGCTACTGCTACCTCAACGTGCAGCACCAAGGCCTCAAGATGCTGGGCGTGAGCTCTCACGGGGTCCGCAGAGACCCGAGCGACTGCGGGGCCACAGAGCAGGAGGCCGCACTGCCGCACTCGCTGTGCGTGAGGGTTTGGGCCATCCAGGCTGCTGACTACGACGTCGGGTACGGCAGCGGCTACGACAGCGGCGGCGGCGAGGAGATGCACCAGGACGCAGCTGGGTTCCGCAAGTGCGAGGTACTCGGCTCCCGCGAGGCACTGATGCGCAAGGCGTTGGCGCGCCTGCGGGCCGACGAGGACCTCTTCGACGGCGAGAGCCCGTACCGAGCGGAGGAGGGCAACGCCCCGCCGAAGCACATCGACGTCAAGTTCCACTGCGCCATCGCGGACGTGCTGCCGCTGCCCGAGGATGTGCGCCCGACTATGCAGGTGATGCGCCTCGCCGAACCCCGTAGCAGTCGCCCACACGTGGGTGACTGCTTATTGTGCACGCGCGCGCGCCACAGGAGTACGCGGCTAATACGATGCGCTACGGATGCAGCTTTGGCTGGACGGCCGAGATGGAATGGAACCACTCGGAGAACGAGTACGAGGCCTCGGCAGTGCGTCGGCTGCCCAGGTGCGGACCCGCCCTGCCTTCGACCATGCCGGCGTGCGTCACATCGCTGATCCGCGAGACGCTCGTGCGTGGCGCAGGCTGCGCGACGAGCAGTACCCCGTCATTACCAAGATCCGGTCGGTCCCACACGCGTACCTCTGACGCCCCCTCCATAGGCCCAGCCACACTTTGTGCAGCAAACGCACTCACCCGTCGAGTACGCGAGACCGTGCCCGGATTGCCCCTACACAGACATTGGGAGAGGCGGTCCCGACCGCCTCGAGAGCGGTACAGCCGTAAGTAAGGTTGGTCATAGCTCGTAGTGTTGCGAGTACATGTAGAGCCGTGGTGACTCATAGAGGGAGCGGACCGTGAGTTGAGGAAATCGGAGGACGCGACCCACCTCGCCACAGACGGTCCCGCGCCTCGCCGCTATGACGGCGACACGGCCGCAGCTCGTGTGCGTGTCGCCGTCTTTGTCCGGAGTGAAAAGTCCAACGCGCTCGTCGGTGACGGTGTCCTCCAACCTGCGCCGCGCTCGGCGAACCTCGACAGCGCCTTCGATGGCATGCAGCTCTTTGCGTCAGAAGCCTGGAGAGCAGCTCCTCGGCTGCTCACACGCTCTGCACAGTTGACACAGCCTACTGTGCGGCTACCACAGCTGTGACAGCGATGGGCTCGCCCTCACTGGCCCTCAGTCACTTGTGCTGCGGCTTGTGTGAGCGACACTGCTCGGCGACTGCCGGCACACTGTGAGACCATGGGTGTGAGGTAAAACCACGCTACCAGCGCTTGGTCACATCGGCCCCGAGGTCAGATCCTTCTACTCTGTTAGTGACAAGACTTGTCTACTGGCTGGAGCCGAGCAGGAGGGCCCGGCGCACAACCCCTGGTCAACTCACGGTCCACACCCCGTATGAGCGTGATGAAAGGTTTGGTCCCGTCTCGCGCTTTTTTGCGATTTCAGCACCGTCCACTCACTCACCGCTCCTCTGTACGTGCTCTGCTCGAAGTGGCAGTGCCACCGGCCAAGTGAGGCAAGTGGCACGGGTACAGTACGTAGAACGTACGGGTCCGAGGTCTCATGTGTGCTACGAGCACTTGCCCCATGAAGGGATCAATCGGGTAGAACGTGGAGTCGTCTGCGAACCACGTCTGTCGAATCCCCTCTCTGCCCGCTGCCCCCCTGGTGAGGAGCCGGTGCCCCTGGACGTTGCGGTTCATCATGGAGATGACGGGGAGTAGGGTAAGAAGTGCTCTGTCCGGCCCCACTTTGCAGCCCTGTCCTGTGCCGTCCGGGACGGGAAAGCCCCCGGTTGCGCCGTGCGCCGTTATGATCCTCCCTTGCGCCTCACCCTGTAGCGCCTGCATGGCCTCCGTCACTTCCGGGAAGACGCCTATCCTCTTCTCGAGCTCCAGGAGAACCGCTCTGACGACCCCCATGAAGAACCCTTCCAGGTCAAAGTACATCCGAACCAGCGGCTGGCACAGTATGGCCGCCTCCTCGGTCTGCAGTTTGACCACAAGGCTCGCCTGCGCTGCATTCCGGAGCTGTCTAAAGCCGTGGGCCGCATGGGGCTGGGTTTCGGCGTTGACCCTCTTGTACTCCGCCGAGAAACAGGCAGTGACGATCTTCCAGCCGTGCGGCACCAGCCAGATGTCCCTAAGGTTCTTGAAGAGGGACGGATCCCGCTTCGCCTTCGGGATCATGGTCACAAACCACTCCCTCCATTCGGGAGGGTATCGTCTCTCGCGGACGACCTGGGCTAGCGACTGCCGATATGCCTCTTGGAGCCACCGAGGGGCCCACCTCAGCAGGATGCACTGCCACCCATCGCTCCCCGCGCTCTGCTTCGCTCTGCACGTGTCGAGCGCGTCGGCAAAGATTTCCTCATTGATCGCCGCTTCCACCCAGTCTTCCCCCTCGCCTAGTGGACTTGCGGTCGCCGAGGGAGAGCCCGTCTGCCGCAGGATCCACTCCATCATTGGAATGTTTGCCTGCCGCCTGGAGTTTGCCTTGACCGCGGCCTGTCTCACTGTGTCGAGCACGCGGCGTCCCTCAAAGATGAGGTCCCTTTTCGGGTCGTCGTCCTCGTGTATACTCTCGAAGGGGGGGGGGGTCCGTACGAGCCCCCCCCCACTGCCTCCTTTCCCAACGACGCCGGAGGCGGAGTGAGACACGATGGCATAGACCGTTGTCATGATCTCGTCTGGCCCTCGCTGTGCGGCCTCTTCAAGCTTGCCCGCGTAGTAGTCGCTGTGGTCCCTGTCCAGTTCGTGCCGGATTTGCCGCTCGACCTCTAGGGAGGCATCGCGCAGCATCCCCAGCTCTGCGCACAACCGCAGCTCCTCAAGCGACCTGCTTCCACCGAGTAGACGCTCTCTCCTCACCATGCCGGCTATGGCCGTGGCGCTATAGAGCCCCGTTATCCGTCGGGTCAGCTCTGTCTCGGTGCGCAGGCGCCTGTACTCATCCGGAACTCTGTTCCGTCCCAGTCTGAACACCTCGCCTGCCTGCGCCTCTGATCCCGAGTCCCGCATTCGCCGCCGCAGCTCCATTCCGCGTGAGCCCGCTCGTTGCGGTGACGAGGATAGAAGAGCCCGGAGGAGCTCGGCTAGGGCGGTTAGTTCCGCCGTGTTGTTGGTATGCTTACGCGCGCCGAGGTAGGCTGGGTGCGCCGCCGAAGTGACAACTGGCCCGTAGCCCTCGCTCGTCAGCGACGCGCCCTCATCGCCGATGGCGTCGCCCCCGATGAGTACTGCATAGGCCCACCCTGCTTTCCCTAGGTCTTCCGACCCGTCTGTGTATGCCACCCAGTCGGGCGGGCGTCGTTGCGCCTGTTCTGTCAGTTGCTGCTGTGGGCGAAGAACGAACGACCCCTTGTGCCTCTACCATTAGTCTCAGCTTGACCCGGCATGCCACCCCTTCACCCTGAGGCGCTACACAGAGGAGTGCGACTGTGCTCACCGCGCAGCCGTTTGCTGCCACCCCTCGGACAGATTCGAGCGTCTCGGGGAGCTCGCACTCGCCTTCGCTGGAAAAGAAACCTGAGGTCGCTCCGCGACTGCCCATCTTCCATTTTTGGCCTGCTCAGAGCTGTGGATCGCTGAAAGTCGTGCGCACGCCGCGCTAAAGCTTAACGCTCGCATGCCGCCCCGCTCTCGCACGCCCTCCTCCAAGAAGCCCGCCGCCGCGGCGACGACTGCGGAGCGGTCTCGCCGCCGCGGGGCTGTGACGAAGCCCTCCTGCCGGCAGCGAAAGCTCACCTTTGAGAGCGCCCCCGCGGAGGACGCCCATGTTGAGACCGTGCCCGACGTCGCGTCCTCCGATACCGAGGAGGAGGACCGTTCCGAGGCGGCGGCGGCCGCCGCCGCCGCCGCCGCCCTGCCGCCGCTGACCGCGGCCGAGGAGAAAGAGCTCAAGGCGTTTGACCTGGACTCGACCTACGGGCCCTGCCTCGGCCTCACGCGTCTCGAGCGGTTCCTGCGCGCGGAGAAGCTCCAGATCAACCCGCCGCCGTCTGTGCGCGAGATCCTCCACCGCGTCCACCCGACCAGCCCCAGTGCGCATGCAATCCTGAGCGGAAAGCCCGGCGTCGTGTGTTGACGGGCCGCGGCCAGGCACTGAGTGCACAAGGAAGTGGAGTGGGGGGCGGGCGCCCATGCGTGCAGACGGGCACAAAGATGCCACGTGGAAGTGGGGCGGGGGCGGGCGGCCATGCGTGTCCGAAGCGGGGGGGAGGAGACCGAGCGGCACGGCTGCCGCGCTGCCCCCGCGCGGCGCTCACAGGGGCGAGGGGCGCCCCCTGCGTCGGGCCGCGAAGCTCCCCTGTCTCGTGTGATTGTTTATGAATGTCAGCTGGGAAGAAATGCGCGTCCGCGCTCCTCGGCGAGCCTCGTCCCTCACGGACTCCAAACCACGCCCCACACCGCCAGCTCGCGAGACGCGACCTCCGAGGACCGAGCCCGGCCGCCTCTCGACCTCGACGCTCGAGCGCCGGGGCCAGCCAACCCAGGAGTCGATTTTAGGACCAATCTCAATAACAATCTCTATCAGCAAGAACAACCGGGACTCGGACGCGATGCAATGGCGATTTTTCTTTCTTTCTGGCGGCATGAGCGGCGCCATCCTCCCAACCCAGCTCGCCGACCTGGCTCGGGGCGACCTGGCCTGGCTGCGCGCCTTCCTCTCCGGGCGGGGGACGCGCGGCACGTCGCTCACGGCCCAGCTCGACGCGCGGCACGACACCGAGAGGCAGGACACGCTTCTGACCTGGGCCGCTCGGCACCGGCAAGCCGAGGCGGTGCGGCTGCTGCTCGAAGCCGGCGCGAGCATCGGGGCGGCGGACGGCTTTGGCTTCACCGCGCTGGCTATTGCGTGCCTAGAGGGCCAGCTTGAGATCGTCCGGCTGCTCCTCGAGGCCAGCGCAGCGGTCGACCAAGCCCTGAGCAATGGCGGCACGCCGCTGCTCATCGCGTGTGCGAAGGGCCACGTCGAGTGCGCCCAGCTGCTGCTCGAGGCCAACGCGGCGGTCAACCAAGCCAGCAACAATGGCCTCACGCCTCTGTTCGTGGCTTGCCAGCAGGGCCACCTCCAGTGCGCCCGGCTGCTCGTCGAGGCTGGCGCGGCGACCGACGAAGCAGACGCTGAAGGCCGCACGCCGCTGTACATCACCTGCCGGGAAGGCCACCTTGAGATCGCCCGGCTGCTCCGCGAGGCCGGCGCGGCAATCGACCGAGCAACGAGCGACGGCACCACGCCGCTGCGTGCTGCGAGCTTCAACGGCCAGCTCGAGATCGCCCGGCTGCTCCTCGAGGCTGGCGCGGCGGTCAACCAAGCGGCGGAAGATGGCGCCACGCCACTGTTCATCGCGAGCGAGTACGGCCAGCTCGAGATCGCCCGGCTGCTCCTCGAGGCTGGCGCGGCGGTCAACCAAGCGGATTCTGAAGGCCGCACGCCGCTGTTCATTGCGTGCGAGGAGGGCCACGTCGATATCGCCCGGCTGCTTCTCGCGGCCGGCGTCGCGATGGACCAGGCGGACGAGTATGGCGCCACGCCGCTGTTCATGGCGTGCCAGGAGGGCCATCTCGAGTGCGTCCGGCTGCTCCTCGAGGCCGACGCTGGCATCAACAAAGCCAGGGAGGGCGGCGCCACGCCGCTTTTCATCGCGTGCCAGAACGGCCAGCTCGAGTGCGCCCAGCTGCTGCGCGACGCTGGCGCTGACGTCAACCAAGCGATGGGCAATGGCTGCGCGCCGCTGCTCATGGCGAGCCAGGAGGGCCACCTCAAGATCACCAGGCTGCTCCTCGAGGCTGGCGCGGCGGTAAGCCAAGCCAAGGAGGACGGCGTCACGCCGCTGTCCATCGCGTGCCAGGAGGGCCAGCTCGAGGTCACCAAGCTCCTCTCCTCCTACGGCGCCTCCCGCGCCGCTACGCCCTTCGGCACGCCCGAGGAGGTCGCAAACCGTGAAGGCCACACCGACCTCGCCGCCTGGCTGGTCGCCAGCCGCGGCTGGACGCCGCTCCAGCACCTCGAGGCGTGCCCCAAGCAAGCGGCCGAAGGCGTGAGCGCGTTGTCCTCACTCCCATTGCCCCTCTTCCGCAGGCGCTCACCGTCGACCGGGCGCGGGCACTGCTGCGCGGCGGCGCGGACCCCCTCGCCGGCGCGCCTTCTGCCCTCGAGCGGGCGCGCGTCCTCTGCTCGTGGAGCGAGTCGGATCCGACCGTTGCGGCCGTCGGCTCCACAGTCGCGGTCCACTCTCTGGTCTCGCGGCCCTCGATGAACGGCAAGGTCGGTGTCGTCGTCTCCGCAAACGCTTCGACGGGCCGCTTCGGCGTGCGCGTGGCGGGCGAGGCCAAGGCGCTTGCGCTCAGGCGCGCAATGCAATGGTCTCCCCGACTCGCCGGATCCTCTCTTTGACACACCTCTGCCCTCCTCAGGCCGGCCAACCTGCAGCCAGCGGCCGAGGCGGTGGAGGTGGGCAGGCTCATCCTCAAGGCGACGGAGTGGTCGCCGCAGTCTCACGAGCTCTTCCCGGAGCCGGCTCGCAAGTGTGCGGTCGAGGTGATGCGGCTGGGCTACCTGATCGCGTGGGACGAGGAGCGCTTCGACAGCCGCGAGGGAGCGGCTCCAGAGCTGGCTGACGTCTGGCGCGGCTTTGTGCTGCCAAGGGTGGTGGCGCGATGACTCACTCGATCCGCACGGGGTTTTCAGTGAGAGGGCCAAACCCCCAGCAGGGGTCTTGCCGTTGCCCCTGTGCGGTCGCGTCTATTTGAACATGGAAGGTCCTTTCTTTTCTCTCGGTGCGCGGGTCGCGGCCGATTTTTCTTCTTTTTTCCCGTCCCACCCCTCCCCGGTACCTGTGTGTTAGTGCCATCCTGTCCGGTCGCAAATTCTTTTTTTACTGTGCGGCGCGCTTCACCTCCGTTTGTCGGGAGGGAGGGGCGCAGGCTGCTCACCCACGTGCACCGGGCCAGTGCTTGCACTTTGAATGCCGTGGGGCTCCTGCCCGTGTCCGGGTGTGGAGATGCGAGGGTCGCCCCCCCTTGCCCCACCACTTTGTGTGTGTGGAGAAATTTACCTTACCTTACCTTACCTTCACCTCCGCCTCGACGTATTGCCGCATCGCCGCGAGCAGTTTGCGTCTCGTCTCCGCGTCGCGCGGCTCCGAGTAGATGAGGTTGACGGCACGCTCGAGCGCCCGAATGCCGCACGCCTCGCGGTTGAGGCGGGTCCTGATGTTGACCTGTCCACAAATGAAGGTGTGAAGAGACGCTGCTCACGCGCCTCAGGCCGAGCTCTGAGGCGGCCGTCCGAAACTGCGTGAAAAAAAACATGGCTTGCTGCGAGAGCATTCCAAAGGAGGACATCTTCGACTCGCCGCCGCGCGTCGCGGCCATCAAGGCGCGGGTCGACCCCGTCACCGACGCTGCTCCGTCTGTCCGCGCTGCCGGCACCCGCGATGATCTCGGCGCCTCTGTCGACTCGCTGCTGCCGGCTATGGCGTCCATCGGGCTCGGCGAGGCAGATTCTCCGGAGGCCGTGCCTCCGCTTTGCGCCGCGCCTGCAGACGCCTCGCCGATGGAGCAGCCGCAGGCCACGTCTCCCGACCCCTCGCGACCCGCGTTCAAGAGGCCGGGCTTGTCGGCAGCGGCAGCCCCGGTTGACGCGGGCCCGATGCAGCCGGTTCCGACGCCGTCAAAGACGCCGGGCTCGCCCTGTGCCTCGGCCCGCCCGCACGATGACAACGCGATGGACGACGCGTCGCTCCTTCAAGCCGCGGCAGAGCCGCTGCCGGCAGCAGATGCTGACGCAATGCAGATCGACTGCCCTGATCTCAGCCAGTCGACGGGCGGGAGGGCCCTGATTGAGCGAGAGAGTCCCTCGGCCATCCTTCCCGACCCGGTCCCAGCAAAGGCCTGCTCGACGTTGGAGCACGGCATCGGCGGCGGTGGCGGTGACGGCGCCGGCGACACGGCGATGCAGCGGACCCCGCGCAAGGCAGCGCCGCCTGCTCGCTTGGGCGATGGCGACGACTGGTCCTCGAGACCGGCGTCAAAGTGGGTCCCCCCTACGGAGCCACCGAGGAAGCCGGTCGAGTGCATGGCCGAGGCGGCATCCATCGAGGCAGTGCGGGGGAGGAATCAAAAGCTGAAATTCGCCGCGTTCTGGGCAAACCTGAAGGCGCTCGGCTGGACCTACGCAAAGGGCTCGGGCCTGCAGGAGCCCTTCGTGTTTCTGAAGCCCGGCGTGAAGAAGAAGTCGGGCCGGCTCGGAGTCACGATGTTCAACGGCGAGGCGCATCTGGAGGAGTACATTGACGCAAGTGGCTACGCGCAGCCGGTCGACCGCGTGCCGGATCCCGCCAAGCCCGGGCTCGAGGCGTCCGCGGGCTCGAGGCCTCCTCGGGGGCCTCCTGTGCGGCGACTGGATCTGTCCGGCGAAGCGCCGGAGCGGTCGCCCTCCGAGGGGGAGGCGCAAGTGCTGGCCCCCAACGCCGCTGCTCCTGAGCCAGCCGCTGTGGCCGCCACCGCCTCCGCCGCACGCACGGGCTTCGAGAAGATCAACGCCGGCTGCCTCGAATGGTTCGTGCCTCTCGCCCCGGCCGACGCTGCAGCCCTCGCGACAGAGCCAGAGAGGGGCGAGGCCGAGCGGCAGCGCCTCTCGGCCGGCCCTCCGAGGGGCAGGCCTTCGCACGAGGAGGAGGGCCCCGGGACGCCTCCCGGCACGCCGCCGCCGGAGGAGGAGCAGGAGCAGTGGCTGCTGACGGGCCACCACCACCTCGGCCGGCGGATCGCGCGCTCGTTTGGCGAGGACGAGCCGATGTTCGGTCGCGCCCCCACAGCCCGCGCGGCTCCGCCGCTTCCCAGTGCAACCCGAGGTGCGCGGACCTCACCCCAGCCCCCCCTCCCTCCCTCGCTCTGCTAGGCCGCGTCACGCGCTGGCTTCCGGCGGACGAGGCGAGCGGCGAGCCGGCGCTCTTCCACTGCGTGCACGACGACGGCGAGAGAGGGGCGCCGGCGGTGGGGCGAGGCACACCTCGGCCGCACCCCCCGCCCCCGCCCGCGGCGTGTAGGCGACGAGGAGGACCTCGATGAGGAGGAGGTGCTGGCCGCGCTGCAGACAGCGGAGGCAGCGGCGATGGAGTTGGAGAGGCAGGCGGAGGGCGAGGCTCCGGTGGTGGAGGCGGAGGGGCTGAAGCTGCACTTGTCCAGCCGCAGCAGCACCGGCTACAAGGGCGTGCGCGAGATGGAGTCCGGTCGCTTCTACGCCGCTCGCAAGGACGGTGGACAGGACAAGTACCTCGGATCCTTCGACTCGGCGGTGGAGGCAGCGGTTGCGTACGCGCGCTCGATGGCACAAGAGGGCGAGGAGGGCGAGGAGGGCGGGGAGGGCGGGGAGGGCGAGGAAGGCGAGGACGGCGAGGAGGAGGGCGGGGAGGAGGAGGCTCTGGTTGCGGAGGCGGAGGGGCTGAAGCTGCACATGTCCGACAAGAGTGCTACCGGCTACAAGGGCGTGTGCTATGAGCACCAGCGCGGCCGCTACCGAGCATTCCGCACCGAGGGGGGCAGGACCGTCTACATCGGCGTCTTCGACTCGGCGGTGGAGGCGGCAGTGGCCTACGCGCGGGCGGTGGGGCAGGCGGAGCCGGAGGAAGCCGCCGCAGCGACAGTTGCGGCGCAGCCGAGCGAGGAGGCCGGGGAGGAGGCGGCGGTGGCGGAGGCGGAGGGGCTGAAGCTGCACTTGTCCGGCGGCAGCACCACCGGCTACAAGGGGGTGCGCAAGCACACCCAGCAGGCTGGTCGCTTCGAAGCGCGTCGCTACGCGGGGAGCAGGACCATCTACATCGGCGTCTTCGACTCGGCGGTGGAGGCGGCAGTGGCCTACGCGCGGGCGGTGGGGCAGGCGGAGCCGGAGGAAGCCGCCGCAGCGACAGTTGCGGCGCAGCCGAGCGAGGAGGCCGGGGAGGAGGCGGCGGAGGGCGCTGCTGCGCCAGAAGAGGCGGTGGGAGATGCGGCGCGGGAGGCGCAGAAGGAGGCGAAGCGGGCCGAGCAGGCAGCTGCCAAGGAGGAGAAGGCGGCGGCAAAGAAGACGCGGAGGAAGGAGGTCGAGCCGAAGGAGGCGCCGAGCACTAGCAGAGCCCTCAACAAGCCCCCCCACCCCCTACCCCTCCCCCTCCCCCATCTCGCGCCACACACCCCGCAAATCGCACCGGCGCCGCACGACCCGCGCCACTCCTCTTGCTGGCTCCATTGGCCTCGCCTCAGCCCCGAGATCACCCGAGATCGGCTAGGTCGAGGTGCGCAAGCCGAGCGAGGAGGAGGCGGCGGTGCTCGCGGCGGTCGACGTGGTGGCCACCCCATAGACGCTCCCCAGACCCTCCCCAGACCCCCTCGCCCAAGACCCTCGCCCAAGACCTTCGCCCAAGACCACCTCCCAAGAGAGTGCCGCGTCGCTCTGCTGATGCCAGACCAGTGCCAGACAGGCGCCGTTCAGCCGCCCTGCCGCAGCGCCACAGGCCCCGCACCACCTCGCACCACCTCGCACCACCTCGCACCACCTCCCCCTCGGCGGCACCGCCACACTAGGAGCATACACCGCAACACCCAGAGCACCGCCTCCCTGCCTCACGCCCCCTCCCTCCTCGCCGCTCCAGAGATCTCCCCATCATACCTCCCCATCATATCTCCCCACATCTCCCCACATCTCCCCACATCTCCTCTCGCCCCTCCAGATGCGCAAGGCCAAGGAGGCCCACGGGTCGACAGTGCGCGGCTGGAGGCTGCAGCTCAAAAAGAGGCCGGCCAAGGAAGGCAAGCCCGACGCCTTCGACATGCAGGCGGGAGAGCGCGCTGCTCGTGGCGCCCTTTGGCGGGGAGATGTGGGGAGATATGGGGAGACACGGGGAGATATGGGGAGATGTTGCCCTTTGGCGGGCGCGGCCGAAGGAGGGGGGGGGGAGGAGGGAGGGGAGGGAGGCCTCGCCCCGCCCCGCCGTGGCAGGTGTTTGCGCCGGGCAGCAAGAAGGCGCTCGTCTCCACCGTCGGCATCAAGCGCGCGATGGGCCTCCTCGCGCAGGCCGCGGCGGTGCCACAGCCGGCGGCGAGCGCGGCGGGCGGCGAGCTGGCGGCCAAGCAGCCACCGGCCGCCGCGAAGCAGCCTCCTCAGTGCGCGAGCGACGCGGAGACGCCGCCGGAGCAGCTCCCCGGCAACTCGTCGCCTGCGGTGTGAACAGCGTCTCTTCACACCTCTGGCTGTGAACAGCTCCCCGGCGGCGACGAGTCGGCGAGCCAGACTGGCGGGGAGCAGTGGCTGCTGACGGGCCACCACCACCTCGGCCGGCGGATCGCGCGCTCGTTTGGCGAGGACGAGCCGATGTTCGGTCGCGCCCCCACCGCCCGCGCGGCTCCGCCGCTTACCAGTGCAACCCGAGGTGCGCGGGCCTCACCCCAGCCCTCCCCTCCCCCCTCCCTCGCTCTGCTAGGCCGCGTCACGCGCTGGCTTCCGGCGGACGAGGCGAGCGGCGAGCCGGCGCTCTTCCACTGCGTGCACGACGACGGCGAGAGAGGGGCGCCGGCGGTCAGTGGGGCGAGGCACACCTCGGCCGCACCCCCCGCCCCCGCCCGCGGCGTGTAGGCGACGAGGAGGACCTCGATGAGGAGGAGGTGCTGGCCGCGCTGCAGACAGCGGAGGCAGCGGCGATGGAGGTGGAGAGGCAGGCGGAGGGCGAGGCCGAGGGCAGCGCTGAGGACGCTGCGGCGGGCCCGGCGGGCCCGGCGCGTCGCCTCTCCGACGACGACGACGACGACGACGACGACGACGCCGAGCTCGCGGCCATCGCCGCCGGATTGCCGGAGCCTCCCCTCCAGCTGGGCCGGCGTCTGGGCGAGGGGGTGGCGGGTATGCTCAGCCCGACAGCGCCGGTGCTCCGTTTCGGTGGGCCGAGCGCCAACGCTGCCTCCGCTGCCGACGCACCGCCGCGCCAGCCGCGGCGGAGGTACATCAACTACGGCGCCGCCGCCACGCCGCCACCGCCGCCGAAGCCGAGGGCGGAGGCGGAGGAGGCTGCGGGCGGGGGCGGGACGGCCGACCCCGACGAAGCGCTCACTCTCGACGCGCTGCTGAAGCGCCACCGGGAGGAGCGCGGC